ATGAGAGTGAAATTGTATTTGCAAATAATGTTTAGTATCCAAGTTCACGTAATGAGATATAAAATTAACCCTTACTTCAATATTGATGATATTTATTCTTACACTAATTAGTTATTTATGGTACTGACTGATCACAGTAACAGCCGCCAGAAAAAGGTTTCCACTGTTATTGTAATCAGTTTTATCTTTCTCATCCCTTTGAGAGTCCCTAGTGGAAGGCAGTAGTACTCTGAGCTTTCAAGTTCCAGTATCTATGGTGCTGTTATTCTATGGAGAGTAGCCTTACGCCAAACCTTTCCTCTTCTTCGCGCTTACTTCCGGTTTGTAAGATAGGCAGGGATTCTAACCCCATACTACAAGCGTGGTTGGCGAGCGTTCTACGATTGAATCAAGAACTCATCACTGCAATCCGTGCTGTTATGTATTCACATGAATGGACAGTCTGATTGATGACTTCTTCGCTGCAACCATCTTTTTGTTTTTTATGATGTATGGTGCAATGAGTTCTCTGTGAATAATTATTGCTTTTTCAACCTAAAGTGTGAAAGTAAACCATAGACTGATACCTCCTTGGTTTGTTCATACGAGGAGATGGTACTCGTGAATTGAACAAGTCAGGTGTTCTTTTCTAACTTCCAGTGACATTTGTGATCATAATTATTATATATTTCAGTATACTGACAACCCTCAATAGGTTGCACTTTTCGACTTAATGATTCGGACAACAGCTTTTGATCGCCAAATTTAGCTGTCAGAATTTAAGCATTTATGTGCTTGATTAGCTTTGATTTCTGTGAGTTATCCCCTAAGGTCACACTATCTAATTTACCAGGAGTCTACAGTTTTCAACAGATGAAGGTATACTATAACAGCAGGAGGCAAGATACGGGAGCCAAAGTGTATATTCATTTAACTCTAGCAGCAAACAGAATGTTCAAATATATATGTCGTATTCTGTTACTAATGCCGTATTGAACTGTGGGAATATGTAAGAATCATATTCCGTTGGAAAACATTGCCTGTATCACACCACCACGCTCGTATCCCCGTAAAATAATTTAAACTGAAGTCGGTTCGATCTTCTTGGTGCTGGCGTCTTCCTTTGCTTATCTCTCTGTATCCATTTCTGGAGTTCGTTGACGTTCACCCGTTTCTCTCTGTTTGCATTTTTGATGGTATATACGTGCCCCTGTTTTGCGGCGACTGTGTATGGTACTTCTTACTTTGCAAGCAGTTCGCGTGACCCTGGCGCGTATCCACTAGTATTTCGCCTATCTCTACATTTAAACTGATCTTCCTTCTTGAATGCTAGGTACCTCCCCTTTACCGTATGTCCATCTTCTGCTTTCGTTGTTAACGTACAGTGGTGATGTTGAACCTTTTCACACGGTGTGGTTTGTAGTTAAGGTAGGTATTGACCACACCTATCAGTATTCATTCGAGGTGAAGAGCAGGTTCTAACTTTTCCTGGATGATCCTATGAATAGTGAGGACCCGGATATTCTACTATCCAAATTACAAACCAAACGATCAAGGAAACTAGGAAGGAGAAGTCTCATGCTCAGCAACAACAACAACAGCAGGTTACACCTGCGAAGGTTGTTGTCAAGACTGAGGCAAAAGTTGATACAATAATCCCGGAAAATGCCCCTCGACGTCTAAAGTCTCCAAGTTCTACAGATCTGCTACCTGTTTCATCAGAGGATGCACAGAACTCTGCTGCGAAGGAGCGCCACGCAGGATGCACGGAATCAGAGGTTAGGGTCCACGGATAGCCCTAATGGAGTCACTCCAAAACTTTGCAGGTGATGTGAACGCACCAAGAGGGTATGGTTTCGAATCAAGAGGACGTGAAAGAGGCCGAGGAAGGGAAAAGTTTGGTCAAGCACGTGGTATGCCGTTCAACTCAAATCAGGATTTTGATCATCAGAGCGTTCCTGGTTTGAAAGGGCCGAGACGGTATAGTAGGAGAGATGGGAAATGGAACCCACATGATGTGGATGCTCAGGCAGCACCTGAAAGTGGTGATGCAGAACAAGTTGTACGTTGGGAAGAGAAGCATACTGAGGTAGACGAACAGTTGGATGACGCCTCAAAAGAGACTGAATAGGCAACGGATAACGTTTTGGAAACACCTTTTGAAGAGTAACCTAAAAGCCACAGGTTGGAAGAGTACAGTGCCATGCGTCAGTCTACTAAGCCGTTAGTTATTATAAACAACAAGAATCTCTGTAAGGCTAATGACGGCAAAGGTGTGTTTGCAAACATGGTGGCTCATAGGAAAGTACAGGAGGCTCATGAAGATGGCCACTAGGTTGGAGTGACGGAAAACCAGCCTGAGGCACAAGATAGATAGATAGATATTGACTTCTCTTTCACAGAAAAGTTTGGAGGTCGTAGAAGAAGTGGTCGAGGACTTGAGAAGACAATTCCGCTGGAACGTATTGTTTGTATCACACCACCACAATACTACTGAAGAAACCTGTTATAATCTTTAGAAATGTAAAATGTTTGTAAATCTCTGATTACAAAAGTTTCATCTGACAAATAGTCCAAGTTATCAGAGTTCTCAAAAGACTTTATGAAACATTTCCCCATCTTATTCACAAGGACCTTAAGCTGGAAACAAGATTGAAGCTGAGCGTTTGACTATCTATCTGTATGTTCAGTAACATAAAACTCTGAACAGAAACTCACCAGATATAAAATAATAAGGAATTCGAATTTATTATTTGTGAGGTTCTACGATAGTTGAGAATCTGCATTTCATGGGAGTAATGGCAGATTTTAGTCAAAAGACCCAGTATAAAAGTAACTTATAAGTAGCAAGTAAACACGATCAAGTAACAAGCCAGAAGACTGACATATGTTGGGAAGACAAGAAAACTTCAGAAGATCTATACCGTGCTGATGACTTATCTCTAATGTCAGACAAACTCAAAGATCTACAGGCAAAAACTGACAAGCTGACAGAAGGGAGGCAGAGTGGACAGGACTTCAAGGGGACATGTAGAAGATAAAGGTGTTGGAGACATCTAACCAACAATAACAAGCATCAGTCACTGTCAGTGAAAGAAATCTGAAGGAATTTGTCTCTTCCACTTACTTGGGCAATGTCCTCTTACCTACAAGTGGTACGGATGAGGATGTGGAAGTAAGGTCAGGATTGGAAAAACAAGACGGAAATTCAGTGTGGAAATCTACTGAACCCATCGCAAGGAACAAGATCCGAATTTCTAATGTCAAATCAGCAATTGTATGTCATTCAGAGACCTGACACGCTTCAAAAAGACTACATCTCAAGGGAACAAACACTTACAACAGTGCCACTGGCAGATATCTCATCGATTTGGGTCATGAAGTGGACATCACTAAAAATTCTCTAAAATTATCAATAAAATAAGCAGTTCAATTCTCTTTGTTCACTGGAGCAATCGCTATCAAACGTTTGGAACCCTTTTTGTGTGTTCAGAGAAAGCGGTTATCAGTCCTTACTCTCTCTCTCATTTGGTTGCGTAATCTCCAGCTTTAATCTCTTCTCCCTTAGCTACATGTAGTGTAACTTTGCTTGTCTTCTGTTTCTATGATATGACTTGAATACATCATATTGGTGCTCAGTCAATAGACAAGAGCTCAGTCTATTAGTTATTCATCTTAGTCACCTCTTGCCTGTGTTACGTAACTCCCTAGCCATTGTATCCAAGCGTTTATTTTTTTGTTTAAGGTTGAACTTTCTGGGTATAGGCTATATAAGAGTAGTTTCTTGGCACTATTTATTCAGTTTTTAAAGTATGTTAAAGCTGTTCTGTGTTATTAGTATTATCTCGTTAGATTCCTAGAGGAAAATAGGTCTTCAGCCGCGCATATATCCATTGCGTTCGGTTCTCTGACGACGTTTACACCTGGCTCTAAGTTTGCCTACATGCTCTCATCTCCTCTTCGTACGACCTCCTTGATAGGTATTCACATGATGTGTGTTCTGTTTTTGAGTCTGTTATATTTTGCTGTGTATATGGATCGATATTCCATTATAACTGACAATATGCTTTTGTCTGTCCACTAACTAAATAAACAACGTATAACCTTGTTATCACATGACATTACAACCAATCATGGTAAGACTCTCTATTGTTGGTTCATGTGCATTAGCCATTTTCATATATACTCTTGCTTTATCATTCTTGTTCCCACGTTTCGTACATACGTACCACTTCACTCACACTCTTGTGTGACATTTATTTTCCTTGTCTGGAAAATACAAGTATCATCGAAAACCTGGTGGTCTTTTGATTTCCCTCTTTCCGCGTCAGGACTATTAACTACTCGACGAGTACATAACACTCCTCTAGGTCACCCTCGCACTGATTACCAACTCACCGCCTCCCATTTGGGTTCCGCTCGAACTATGGCCTGGTGTGTGATGTCACTTGATGATTTGTTTTCTCCGAGTATGGTTAATCCACCAAACTGCATTTCTTCCTGCATATTTGTTGCACAACTGGTTCCTGCTGTTGGGTTGGTTCGTTCATTGTCAGAGATCCGTGTTGCTGATCTTTTCTGGCCGGCCATCTGTTTTTTGAGTATTCAGCGAAGACAGCTGTAGATGAAGATGTCTTCTGTACATAAACTTAATGAATTATTTTTTTTTACTCTATACGCAGCTGATGAGAAGCTGGCGAAATAAGTGATGGTACACAAACCGTCTGTTTTCTTTCTTCCTATTCATAAAGGGCAATAAGTGTATGAAGTTTGTGAAAAATAAACGGTGTTGACGACGTGTATCAGCCATGCTTAATGTATATGAAATCACCACTTCAAATGACTAAATTAATTATAAAGCACAAATTTTAGTATATCAGGATAAAAAGCAGCGGCAAACGACGCATAAGTTAACATACCACTGCTTGTTACTTCTAAAACATCTGCATATTTATCTACTAGACATCATCATCAAAGTATATTTTTAAATTAATAGCAAAAAATGCATAGAGACAACTTACATTTAGATGACTTTTTCTTTTTCTTTTTAGAACTTTTTGCCGAGTTTGTCTTACTTGATGGTGTTGGGGGTGAAGACGGAGGCTGGGCAGGTGGCTCAGTATTTTCATCTGGTTCTCCTTCGGCTGGAGGCAATGCGTCTAAATTGATCCTGTCTGTTAATAATGAAGTGAAAGAAAAAGAATGTTTTTTAAAACAAGCAGACAGTAATGATTCAAACTGTATTTGAATAGAGAAAGAATAATAAGTGTACCAGGATAATATAAGTTCATCATTCTTTATTATTTCGTGGTTTCTTCTCACCTAGCCAAATACCTTTCTTTTTTCTTCAGGAATATTCGTCTAGTTATACTGTATATAGTCAGCCGTTTTACGTTTTAATGATTTAACAACGTGTATCATTCCGGACATAGATTGCTCACAGTGTAACCACAGAAGACAAGGGCCAGACAACAGATCGTTTATTGAGAAAATCAACATATATTTATAGATTTATATGCACATTATTATTAGTTATTTTAGCAGAGACACAACGTCTTTTGATTGGTTGTTTTCTTGCTGAAGTTTATTCTCTCCTGTTTGTGACCGTTGCTTGCAAAGTTATGTATATGTCCGCGGATAGTATTTGCACACGTTAAGTCTGCTGTGATGATTGGTTGCTGATTTCCTCAAGGTTAGGCTTTGTTCTTGCTTTTTTTTCTATTGACCGCGATTCGAGACGTAAACATTGACGTATATCGTTGTTCACAATTTAGGCTTTTAGACAGCTCTCACCACAGTAGTCCCATGAATTATTACTATTCTTTTTTTTCTGAGAGGAACAAAGGGCTTCTGCAGTATATCTCTAAAGTTGTATTATGTGTCACTTGGTCGGACGACTGACCATAAGCTATCATCTCTTCATACGATCGTCTCACTATCACCTCCTGACCAACAACACCTAACCCATCATCTCTTATTCCCATTCCAATCACAATAGCCTGCATGGTGCCTGTGTTTAATCCATCTCTGTTTTCTTCTGCGTGTTTGTTTGGCGGTATGCTGTTGATTGCTTCCTTACCAAAGGTTGTTGTTGTAAATCCTTCCTAGCCATCTGACGGGCAGTATACAGAGAAGGCAGTTGTCGAAAAAGTCTACAACCTGTCTCTGAACCATACAGAAGCATTGACTCTACATTACTGCTGGGATCTCGACTTGTAACGACAGAAGACAAGGGCCAGGCAACAGATCGCTTATCCAGGAAAACAAGAGATTCAAGTATTGGTTTATAGGGATTTGGTTGATTGGTTACAGGATTTCATCATGAGCTGATATTAGTTAGAGAACCATTGGAAAACATGGGAGTACTGGACGGCTGTTTCGTCCTAGTTTGTGACTCTTCATCAGTACGCACCACCCGGAATTCGAACCCAGGCCCTTCTGATGAAATCCTGTAACCAATTGATTAAATCCCCACAAACCGATACTTGAATATCAATGAGATGCTCGCTGGCGACTCTCCCTATTCAGGTAGGTAGTTACCTGGGGTTCCAGTGGGAAGTCATGACCAGTAGGGTGCAGCAGGTCGGGTGTGAGGACAAATACTCGCTGAAGACATTGGTTAGCAGTTGCGCTATATCGCCGATCGGTAGAAGGTAGAATTCATGGGCAATTGGATTGGGTCCAAGTGGCTTGATGGTATACGAGTCCGCTAGCGTTGTAACCAGAAGCTTCTGGGTTTGAATCCCGGTAGGTGCTTACTGCTGAAGAGTCCCAAACTAGGACGAAACAGGTGTCCAGTTCTCCTAGGTTTTCCAATGGTTCGCTAACTAATGTCAGCTCATGATGAAATCCTGTAAGAAATCAAGAGATATTTGTATATTTTTATGTACATTATTATTCGTTATTATTAGCAGAGAAACAGCGTCTTCTGATTGGTCATTTTATCACTGGAAGTTATTCTGTCATATGTTTGTGGCCGTTTCATTGAAGGTTAGACGATATATCTGTGAATCGTATCCGCCCACGCAAAGTCTTTGTTCTTGTTTTTTCCTCATGACGAAGATTTGGGAAGTAAACATTGACGTAAATTGCTGTCCACCAATTTTGGCTATCAGACAGCTCTCACCACAACCTTAAATCATTCCCTACTACCATCAGCAGTATTCTGCTAATCCAAGGCTGTTTCAGATAGTCTGACCACCAGTCAACAAAACTGAAACGTGAATTTCGCACAGTCTTTCATAAAACTAAGTAAAGATTTAAGGTCAAAACCAGTTATAAAAGAATCCAGTAGTATCCCACAATTATGTTGAATTACGCTTCCAACTGATAACTGTATTACAACTATATCAGATAATATTGAATAGCATATTTTGACATGATAAGAAACAAATATCAAAATCGATATCTTACTTCGTTTTTTAGCCTCCTCTACAGCTAATTGCTTTTTCCTTATTTCTTCAGCACGTTCAAATCCTTCTTTGTCTGCAGCATCCGACAGTCGACTAAGTAGAGCTATTGTACCTTCAGCTTCTAGATAATTACCGTCTAAAATAAGTTCCCTTAAAACAAAACAGTTTACTAGACTTTTTAGAAAGACAGACTAGCAGTCACACTAATTATTACTTTGTGAATAAAACAATTTACGAAATGAGTGTTCTAATTATTTCAGTAATTTTCCCTCGACAGTCAAATAACAGCGCAGACTAAAATTATTGGGAAGCAGTTTGTGTTTTTCAGTATCTTGCTAAAAAAAATTCCGCATACGTCGGTGGCTCAATGGTTAAATGCTCGCCGACCATATATGCAGCTCGAGTTCGATACCCGGATAATCGACTCTTCAACCTGACTTAACTAAAGTATTAGTAAGTCCAGTAAATCGGGAACACTGGTTAAAGTTTACCAACCTTACCATGTAAACAACAACACTACCGATACCTAAACTTCAAAGCGCAAGCTTGAGGAAAAATGTTCCATTTGGAACTCAAAAAAATCAAATTAAGATAAAGTTACTTAGAATATTTCAAAAGAAATAATTCTTATTCAAGTACGGGTTTGTAGGGATTTGATTAATTGGTTACAGTATTTCATCATGATATGACATGAGTTAGAGAACCATTTGAAAACCTAGGAGTCCTGGACACCTGTTTCGTCCTAATTTGGGACTCTTCACAGCACCCACCCTCAGCTAGGGTTCAAACTCAGGTCCTTTTGGTTACAAGGCTAGCGATCTCGTACTCCTAGGTTTTCCTATGGTTTTTTAACTGATGTCAGCTCATGATGAAATCCCGTCACCAATCAATCAAATCCCAACAAACAAATACTTAAATATCAATGAGATGCTCACTGGCATCTGGCCCTATTTAGGTAGGTAGTTGCCTTGGGTTCTAGTAGAAAGTCGTGACGAGTAGAGTGTAGCAGGTTGGGTGTGAGGACAAATACCCGCCGAAGACATTGGCTAGCGGTCTTTCTATGTCATGAATTGGTAGAAGTTAGAATTCATGGGTTAGTCGTTCGGTCGGGTCCCAGAGTAGCTTAATGGTCGACGAGATCGCTAGCCTTGTAACCAGAAGGCCCTGAATTCTATCCCTGGCCGCGGATGGGTGCTTTGAAGAGTCTCAAACTAGGAAGAAACAGGTGTTCAGTACTCTTAGGTTTTCAAATGGTTCTCTAATCGACGTCATCTCATGATGAAATACTGTAAGAAGTGATTCTAGTGTCTGATATACTAGCTCTGAAGTAATGGATCAAAGTTTCAGGCCTTTTAGCATTAGTTAACAAGACCTGTCTACAATCTGAAAGGAACTGATAACCACTCGAAGATTCACGTCTGTATCATCCGGTGCTGTAGTCAAAGACTTTGCTACTGAGCCATTTCGGTTCATCAATTGATTGAGTAATTATCACTGGCAAAATGTCACACTATTTTGTTCAAAACAGAAAGAAATGACTTAACAACTATACTACGAGTTGTATAAACTTATATCAGCCAACTAAGAGCATAATCTATCATTACTATAGTTTCCATAAACATATCTGCCAATCAGAAAAGATCATAGGGAGACGATTACGTATCGCCAAACTATCCTTGTTCAATGAAAATGACGTTTAATTAGATCCCTTGCTACTAACATTCGACAAATCTGGAGCCTTGACAGTCTAGAAGCAAAACTAGACCATATAAGAGAAATATTCATCCAAATGGATACCTATCGGATTCCTTAACAAGGACATCAAATCAAAGGTATAGAGAAAAACAGAATTACTTGTAACAGAAAAGAAACTTTACATAAACCTGGATTTCGAGGGGTACTTGAGCTATGATATCCTAAGGAGAAGAATTCTATCATCTCTTGGATGAGCGTTATTCGGAGCAGCGCTAAAAGTAATGTTTCCCAGTCGTCCGGTGGTCGTCAGCCGAAGCGCTAGAGACAATATATCGAATCTGACCACTTGTATGTGCTAGTATCAGCCCACCTGTTCTTGCTGAGCCAAGTAAACCGGTTGTTCGACGGGTATCCTGTCAAAAAAGTGTTGAAAAACACTATCCCACATGGGCGCAGAAAGGTAGTAGTGACTCCATAAGAAATACGATAACTGAACACCTTGTCATCACTGGTCATTCCATCTAAATAAGAGGTGACTTCAAAGTAATCTGCAGAGTGAAGAACAGCCTACCAAAGAAAATAGGTTTTCGTCTCCTTTGCATTTCTGAAACTCTAGCCATTCAAATAAAGAAACTGGAGCTCCGCATACAAAAGAAAATTATTCAACCATTTCTACTGTCATGCTAAGAACCTTGTTGATTTCTATCAAATTAATTTTGTTTTGTTTATGTTTGTAAGTCCTTATAACTCATGTATTTCTTTAGAACTTTTATGCAATTCAATATCTTCTTTCTTTAGTATTCGCAACTTGCTAGATAAATCACTCATCTTATTACGCAACTCAGGTACACTTATTCAACTCCTCCTATGCACTAAGTATTATTCACAAATATGATTATAACAACTCATCACTACTGTTGCTACCCTTTTCCATGAGAAACTGTACATAAGTGCAATTGGTACAGATTAAAAAATGAATCCATCGAAAATACACTCCTTGTTGAACTACTTATTTTATGGTAAATTGGTGGACGATGACTAGCAGTGGAATCCAGGAAGCGCATTTCGTCCTATTTGAGATTCGTAATCTTGATATGCCTACATTCCCATCGAATGATGGTGTTCCCATTGACAGTCGGTCCAAATACCAACAATTTCAAACTCCAAAGCGCTATCCACTATAGACTACTTAGGCCACGAGAGCCACATATTTCTTGTGCAATCGATATCAGTAATTTATTTAACTCAATTTGGATATTCCCATTGAGGCCGAGCACTTCGGTCCAATCAATCAACCGGAAAGTTAAAAATGAATTAAATAATTAAAGTGTTGGTTTGTAGGGATTCGATTGATTGGTTACAGGATTTCATCATGAGCTGACATTAGTTAGAAAACCATTGGAAAATCTTGGAGTACTGGACGGCTGTTTCATCCCAGTTTGGGACTCTTCATCAGTACGCACCCACTGCCAGGGTTCGAACCCAGGATCTTCTGGTTACAAGCTCGTAGACCATTAAGCCACTGGGACCCGATACAACGGCCCATGAATTCTAACTTCTGCCAATTCACGAGATAGCGCGACTCCTAGCTGTTTTTAATAATGCATGGATGGAAATTATTCGTTTATCCAAAATAATTACCTATTACCACGTAATTATTATGAGAATGGTATATATCTCAGTCAATCATATAACTCGATTCTTTGAATGAACACAGGATTATTGAAGCTACTCATAAAAATATATGACTTTCAGAGCAATACTAATTAATTTCAGTCTGTGCATAACATTTTTTCGATTGCTTTAAGTTCCATTTGGGGGCATAGGGTTCCACGCTTGAGCTTTGAAGTCTCATTGGCAGTAATGTTGTTTTATGGAGTAGGGTTGCTAGCCTCCCAGCCACACACAAACTTGCCTCTTTGACAGGCTTACTACTACGGGTTGGACGATGTTTAGAAGAGTGCCAGTTGGGAGTCGAACTGCGGGCCACGTAAGGCGCCGCGCGTCTCTATTGCGTTCGGTTTTCTGCCAACGTTTTCACCTGGCTCCACGTCTGCCCACATTTTTGCATCTCCTCTTCACATGACCTCCTCCAAGTCACCCTTGCACTGACGACCAACTCGCCGCTTCCCTTTCGGGTTCCCTTCGAGCAATAGCCTGTATTGTGATGTCACTTGATGGTTTGTTTTCTCAGAGTTTGGCAAGTCCAGCTGCATTTCTTCCTGCAGATTTGTTGCACAATCGGTTCCCCGTTGGTTCGCTCATTGCCAGAGATCCCTGTTGCTGACCTTTTCTGGCCGGCCATCTGATCTTGAGTAATGAAGGTCTGAAGTTTGTTTGAGATGCTCTTTATGACGCGCCAAGTCTCTGATCCGTATAGTAAGTAGCACTGACTTCACATTGGATTTGAAAATCCGGATCTTATTTTCATTTTCATGCTGAGTACTGTTGACCTGCGCACAGACTTGAGAGTAATGAATGCTTGTCTTGCTTTTCCGATTCTTGCTCTGCTACTCTCGTCAGTTTCGCCTGTAGTTGAAGAGTAAGGCGTGGTTGGCAAGTATTCTACCACTGGGCCGCCTACTGTGCATCACATATAAACATATTACTTAGAATGGTCAAATTCTTCGAAACCACTGTTGCAAAACATGACCGAATATTATTCAGTGATCACTAGGCATTACGTTCATAATTAAAAAGCCTTGAAACAGAACAATAGAGGATATGGTTTATCTTGACAAAGCATGACAAATCGAATTTTTAGGTACAATGGCTTCGTCTTTGGTAGCTGTTGTAAGTTATCTTGATCAAACGCACTCATATTGTGTAACCTGATCAGTAAGAAGTTAAGCTTTCTAGAGAGCTTGAAAGAAAATGATAGTATTTTTGAGAAGCTTCTTAGGGTAAGTGGACATCTAAAATGATTCATTTCGAAGAATTTTATACGCCAGTATAGTCTTTGCTTTCTCAGTTTGTCAATTCTTGTATTCTACCCATCCCCCTTTACTGCTCCCGATTAATCTTTCCTGGACTACTTAAGAAAGATTTTGCTGTGCTGAGAAGGGCACTAAAAGCCGTTAGTAGGGCAAGTGGGATAACATTAAACCAACTGGTTAACACTATTGTGGATAGACATATAATGAATGTCATGTAAGAAACTAGCGAATACTATATTGTCAGACCCGAGAATCCTCTCTATATGCAGCTCTCTCCTTGCATTTCTTCTGGTAGAACTAGAAGCAGCTATAAGAGGCTATATGCTAGAACTACCAAGTACAAATGCTCCACAATACCATATCTGGCACAGCTGTTATGTGATAAGGAATCCGTTAGGTATGACACGATCAACTTACTGCAGCACTCTAACAAATAGTTTCCATTAGTTTTTGTTTTCCTTTCCTCGTTACTATTATATTGTTGTTCACATCTTCTATTACACACTAATTTTATATTTCATATCTGTGTGGTGCATTGTTTAAAATGTAAACGCAACGCTGTTCTTTTAATTTTTCTTGTTCTTCTTCTTTTTTGGGGTGTTGCTTTTAGACTTTAAAATCTTATAAAATTTTTGAAGTAATTAGATGCAATATTGTAATGCACGCTGAAAATTTCATACCTGTACCACAAATACTGTTTCGAATAAAGCTGTTATTATAATTATTATCACCGTTGTAATTTCTGTCAATTTGTAGATGATAAGAACCAGTAAGATAAAATGGTGTCGTCTTACACTGCAAATTTAGTTTGCCTTGCTTTATGAAAGTCCAACAAGTTTACCACATGCATGAAACATGATTTGTTTTTAAAATTAATTTATATATCACCAATATAAACAAACCTGATTGCAGTTTCTGCGACTAGATTTCCAAGCCATAAACCGCACTGTTTTGTAAGGCCACAGAAACACAAACTTAGATGAACAAGAAAACGACTTTTGGCTAAACCATTACACATTACACGACAACCACTTTCACCAATCCTGAATGTATATACATATATCAAAGGGTAAGAAAAAATAAGACTTTTTAATAAATTTTCGCTAGACAAAAACACATATGCATCATTGTCGCCAATAATATACACAAATGTTTAGTCATGATTAGTTTCTTTTTTATTCATTTCATTGCATGTTATCTAAGAAAACACCAAATAAAATTCCCGCCGAAGCATTGAAAACAGACTCGGAGACTGCGGCAGATATGCTCACGCCATTATTGCGAAAGGTTTAGAAGGAAGGAAAGGTGCCTACTGATTGGAATATGTTAGGAAGAGGCAAAACACATGCAATTATCAAGTCATTATCATGTCTCAGTCAAGTTATTATCGCGTTATTAACAAGTCGTTGACATGCAATTATCCTGCTCTCTGATTGGACGCTTGCACAATTCCAACTCTCAACCGGATTGGTTGATTTCCAGTCTACCTTATTTTCTGTATAAATACAGTCACTTTTGTCATAATAAATGAACCTGGTTTTACCGCTGATTCTCGCGTGTTCTGCTTTACCAGTTAAGTGGGCACTGGTCAGTAGTTAAGCAGTGATCTCGTGACAAAAGATCTAGCACCATAACAGAATGAATGCTGGCTACCTTTTCAAGCTACCAAAAAAAGGTTGAATTGCGCCTCATGCTGCAAAAACCAGCTTGGAATCATTCTCTTATCCACACCAAGTAAAATACTAAATCTCATCATCCCAGAGAGAATAAAAAATCCATTGGATGCAAAACTCCTTCAACTGAAACAAGCTGGACTCAGAAAAGGCAAATCATGTGTTGATCAAATTGCAACTCTACACATCGTCATCGACCACAGCATAAGATGGCAGTCAAACCTCTACTCAGCTTCCCTCATCGACTTCGAAAAGACCTTCAATAGACAGCGTTGACCAAGAAGTAATTTGGAAACTACTTCAACACTGCGGCGTGCAGTGCCCAAGTCTTCATCGACCTCATTCGACAGCTACATGACAATGTCACTTGTCAAGTGATCCACAACGGAAAACTCAGTAAAGCCTCTGAAGTGAATACAAGAGTGAGACAGGGGTACCTGCCTATTATCACCGATGATATTCTTAATTGTTGGGAACTGGATTATGCGTCAGATTGTGCGTGGGTAGCGAGAAGATAGGAATACGTGAGACAATAAGAAGACTCTAGGAGATCTGGATTTTGCAGACTTACAGGCAGGCAGGCAGGCGAAAACCAACAAACTGGCAGAAGTGAAGACAGAATCCCAAGTGAACATAGAGAAGACAGAGTTGATGAAGATAATCAACCAACAGCAACAAAAACCAGCACCAATCACCATCTCAACGGGAAAGATTTGAAAGAGATTAATTCCTTCACTTATCTAGGAAGCGCGCGGTTTCAACCACAGGTATACGGCACGGATGAAGATGTCAAAGCCAGCCAACCAGAATCGGAGTGGCAAGATACACCTTCATCAACCTGAAGTGAGTTTGGATGTCTTATACCCTTAGAAGAAAGTGAAAGATTAGGATTTTCAACATAAATCTGAAATCAGTCAGTTCTTCAATATGGATCAAAACCTACTAACAGGTTGAAGACTTTTATCAACAGCTGCCTTCGTTGGCTGTATGTTGAAGATTAAAATGACTGCAAAGAATAAGCAATGAGAAATCAACTAGCAACCTAAAGCTCAGGAAATATCCGGAAGAAAATACAGATAGGTGGGACATATGGTGAGGAGACCGTCGAATGACATTACACGCCGGGCCATCGGTCTATCGGAACCCAAATGGTAAACAACGAATTGAGCTTTTGTTCAAGGGTGACATGGCGGAGACCATGTGGCGAGGAGGCGATGAGAGATCATAAGCAATAGTGGGCCCAGTTGAAGAGGACAGCAAAAAATAGAAAAAAGTGGGGGGGGTGTTGTTGAAGCCCTATGTCCCACTCGGAACCCAAGGGGATAATAATAATAATATTATTATTATATTGCCTAAAAAACGAATTAGTAGTGGCGGGTTTTAATATTATATTTCACGATTGTCCTAACACTTACAACCCCCATATGTTTGGTACTCTCACCAAAAATTATTCTAATTCCCTCAAATGAGATAATCACTGCAAATGACAAAATATTTAGATCAAATCTAAATTATTTGGCTAATGGATCATTATGATTTGTGTTAGAAACTTGAACTGGGTGACATATCAGTAATTGGCTGAGCATTGTTTCACAGCTCTCTGAAATGACTCAAACCACACTTATGTGCCTGGCCTAAAACAAGCTGAATGACTGTTAGGTGTTTACTTCACTTCAATCTGGCTGGCTACAGCAAGCACTACTAGTTGATGTGAGTGGTATACAACTACTTATCCCATTAAATCAGTAGTATATATATAGTTTTATGCAAAAATGGTTGTTTTCTTGGTCAACATAACGCCTCGAGTGTGAGATCTACGTCTGTTATCACATTCTGTAGTGGGACAGTATATCAATACTATGTTTTGTCACTCAAAAGCTTTCAGTTCACTTAGAAAATGACACTAGAGTAACAGCTGGTGGCTAACTGGTGGCCAATTAGAGGACACAATGTATTAGTAGTTATTAAACGTAGAGGATGGAACTTTAATCGTGACTAAGCCAGACATAATATGGAGTTTTAAGAGAGAGGGATGGAAATTTCCAGAGTTGTTGGTGCTTCTTTATAAGTGTGGTAAAGTTCCGTCTCGGTATTAAATAAAATTTGAAGTCCTGATTATATTTTTCTTCAAATTTGCAATTGTATCAGTGAACTTGTCGAGTATTCTTAAAAATTAACGTGTTATTAGGATTCAAAATGGAAAAGCAAGCAAAAAACATGGAATTATAACAAAAGATATCTGATATTGGTGAGGGAAGAACAGTGGATGGAGCTAACCGTAAAGGTGAATAGTTCTAGAACACCATTTCTAACCCAAGCCTGAACTCTTAACATTCCGGTTGCATTTTCAACACGAATTTTTTACAACTTAGTCAAAATATTCCAATAATTGCATCGTATCTAGAAAACATGATATATTTTTTAAAATTTCAAATCTAGTAGTTTCAGTACTAGCTCTCTATTATCTAATTCTCTGGTTTTAATTCTATCATTTTTGTTCAGTATTTTTATCAACGAAATGAATGCACTTCAAAAGGGAATTTCTGACTGAAACATGAGAATTTACAGATCACTTAAATTCCTAAACAAGTGACTGTATAGTAAGCTAGCTTGGTCTAATAACCTGACGGTTCCAAGTTCTATCCTCGTTGGGATCTTTGATGTGCACTTATGAAAAATCCCTAACTAAGAGGAAACAGCTGTCCATTGTTCCCTGAGTTTTCAATAACCTATATAACTGGTGCTGACTCGTTACGAAATGTAAACTGTAATACAATCTTTGTATCGGTTGAATGATGCCGAAACCAAATGCATAATATCGCACTGTCATTCAACTCACCACCCACGCAGCCGCGATTCGAACCAAGGACCTTCCGGTTACAAGGCAAGCTGGTTCGTATACCTTTCAGCCACTAGGACCTGATTGAATGGCCAACCCATGAATTCTAACTTCTAGCAATTTGTGATTTTAGCGCCACCACCAACTAGTGTCATCGGTGAGTATATGTCCTCACATCCGGCCGGGTGTACTCCACTGGTCACGACTTCTCACTAGAACTTCAGGCGACTTTGTCCAACAACCAGTTACTAACGAGCATCGGATTGATTTTCAATAATTAGTTTGTTCTGTTCTTTTTCAGGATAGACCACGTATTTGCCGCCAGTGACACTGGTTGTCAGTTATGCTAAAATCACGAATAGCTAGAAGTTAGAATTCATGGGTTGGCCAGTGGCTGAAAGGTATACGAACCAGCTTGCCTTGTAAACGGAAGGCCCTGGGTTCGAACCATGATGGTGGGTGCGTATTGCCAGTAAGTGCCAAACTAGGGTGAAACATCTGTCCAGTACTCCAAGCTGGTTTTCAATGGTTCTCTAACTGATATCAGTCCATAGCTGAACCTGAAACAAATAGAATCCCAACAGACCAATTCTTGAGAATGTCAGACTTATTTGACATTCATTTCATAATGTTAACAATTACAGCTTTTTAATTTGCCATTTTACTTGTTCTGCCTTGGTTATTGCCGTTGCGGTACATACTGTCAGTGTCTACTAAATATCACAAAGCATGCCCACTAATTCATAATGAAAAACACAGCTTTTGTTCAGCGAAGAAATATCTCTTCTCAACGACTACATTTTCAAGTTGTACAGTCGTATTTACATTAAGGAAAAAGGTATGAAGTAGCACTCGGAATGGTTTAGTCGACAACTAAGCCTCAAATTCACAAGAGTCTTTTGCAGTCAGGTCATTCAGAACACTCACCCACCCCCGTGATCTATCCTTTAAAGTTAGCTACAGGACCAAATCGAACCACTCCAAAATCTTACGTTTTCTCCACTTATGCATAGCTGACGCTCCAGCGAAACACCGACAGAAAGCTAAATTATGTGTTCGAAAGTGTTTTTGTTAAACCTCTTTCTCTACCTTGGTCACAGTTATGTTATTTTATATTATTCTATTTTATCACTTGAATTCATTCAATTTCATTTCATCTTCACCGTTTTGTAATGTTATCATCATCGTTCGTTCCATTAATTTTTAGACAACAGACCCTACTGTTTAAAATCTAAATACTAATTGTATTAATAAGCAAAACAAAAAAATCAAGAGGGATAAGGGGAAAAGACATCATAATCCAATTTTCGCCGCAGTAGGAACAGCCTTCGAGTGTATTCATTTTGGATACAAAGTTCCGGTTTAGTCGGTCCTATTGCAACATATAGCTTCAGCTATATGTAGGAGAAATCAGCGAACTGTGCATAATAACAACCTCAAAATTTGGTATATAACCCTGAAGGCTGTGTTGGCGTCTGTGCAATGTCCATTGTCGACCAAGTGTGTTACAAGTGTCATAATAAATATATATATGTGGGATTACACCAACAACTAAGTATTAAAACTTTAAATAACATAAATATTTTGGAAACTTTACACAAAATATTACTCGTTAAAATCTAAGCATAATTCACGTAATGACTTGGAAACTGCAGTATTAGCGACTAGTGTACCAATACTCTTGGCGTCTAGAAAACAGTCGATTAGTTCAAGACGCGTAATAGCATAACATCCTTTAATCAACAGTCCACTCTGTAAAAGAATAAAGAGAAGAAAAAACAAACAAACTAGAAATCCTTCTCTATTCAACAATTCATTGAGAAACGCTGGAATATGGTGAGAATAAGCAATCAGCTAACTAAGGCAGCAGATTTCAAACCAAAACAACAACAACAAAACTTTTCAGCTTCTTATAGGCCCCATAAAATAGGTATTTATAACTAGCTGGTTGAGCCTTTCTAGTTTCACCTAGGAGCCCAACAGTGAATTTTGTCATCCAAGATCTTAGGTGGAAAAATAACTCACTTTTGTTTGAATTACTTTATTGAAGAATAAATAAATATTTGGACTGGATATATACCTTTCCTTTTGTCAGTCATTTTCCAGTATTTTACAAATACCATGATTAATATTTGGAAAGTATTTTAGTAAGTTACAATCGCAAGTATAACCTCCACCACACCCAAAAATCTTAGAACTAAATAATGAGTAAGAGATAAATGTCGGAATCAACTTTGTACAACTTCACTGTATAGTTTACGAATTCATCAGTGATAGAGTTTTGACTGGCTTAGAAGACAGCCTTCTTAAAGGTCAAAGATAAACCTTTTCCAAGTGTTGGTTTGCGGGCATTTGATTTGATTGGTTACAGGATTTTATCATGAGCAGACATCATTTAGAGAACCATTGGAAAACCAGAGGTGATTACTGAATAGCTGTTTCGTCCCAGTTTGTGACTCTTCATCAGTACCCACCCACCGGGATTCAGACTCAGAACCCTTCAAATAAGAGGTTAGCTCGTAGACCAGTAAGCCACTGGTACCCGATCTAATGGTCCATGAGTTCAACTTCGTACAGTGGAGAGTCACAAACTAGGACGAAACAGCTGTTTAGTACTCCTTGTTGCTTTTTTTGCAACAGTTTTCTAACCTATATTAGCTCATAATGAAATCATATAACCGATAAACCTTTTCTATGGACACAAAAGAATGCACAACAAATTTTCATGACTTTTTTTGTCCTCACATTATAATACCAAACAGTAAGCGTTCATAGACTTACAATTATGAGGAGATTAAGAACTAGTGGTTTTGTCAGTAATATTCATACTAAATAAATACAGTATTCACAGTCATTTTAAGTAAGTTTGTCAACTGAAAGAAAGGGATACTGATCCCAGTTTTTATTTTGAATAACCAATTTCTGAGGGATTCTTTGGCCACTCACGATGAAATCAGTCAAACAGAAAAGCCTCTAACAACTACAAGTTTCTATTACACTTTAATGTCATGTTAGGTGAGTAATGAAACATAAAAAAGTACAATAACTCAGGCTTGTCTTTGACTTCAATTGAAAGTCAATTTAATAAGATCAGAAATAATTGAATAACAAGATTCATCCCTATAAAACACTATCTAATAGCAAAAATGAACATTTTATTGCATGAAACTACCAGAATATTTCAGATGACCCAATTTTGAAACTTATGATCAGTTTAGTAGTAGTTTTCGCTAACCATTACTGAATTTTTTATGCTACACTGTCAGTAACAATAAGATAATGAGGCAAGTTTACATTTCACTTACCAATGCTACCATGTCATCATTTTCAACATGACAGTCCCATACAAATAATTCTTGTATCAGTGTATATCGTCTTGCACGTATAGATTCAATTAACGGTAACAGTTTAACTAATGGTTTGTCTTCTTTCACTGGTTTACTTCTAACTTTCTTCTTCTTGATAGTTACACCTTCATCGGTGTCTTCTTTAAGAGCTTCAATCAGTCTGTCATCGTCCCAATATTCAACTATACGACGATCTTGTGGATCAACTAAAAACTTTAATATATTCGATTAATATTATAGTCATTCATATGAAAAAAGTTTGCTGTGAAGATATAATTTAGCTTACTCTTGTCACAGGACGATCTTCTTCCAAAGCTTTTTTAAAACACTTTCTAATTGAATTACATACTGTTGTTTCATAATGCTCAACTCGATGTTCATAGTCTTTAATCATTTCAGTCATTGATCTCACTATTGCTGTATCGCTCTAAGTTTGTATTATCAAATAAAATTAAGTTTTAATCTCACTTTTGAATTCTTTTTTGGTGGCATACTACAGTAAATGGAAAGAAAAAATTACTTTTTTTAATCTTCACTCGACTGCAATAAAATATCAGTTTTAAAATAAGGTATACTGAAATAAGTATTTCAACAGCAAACTCTAATTCCAGATTAACAGAAGGCAGCAGATCAAACAAAAACAGTACTTTTTACAAATGTGTAAATAAGCCTGAGGAAATACACAGCGAAATTAGTCGAACTATACTTTGAAGTAATTTATAGCAGGTCATGAAGCTCACCAGTCTAGCAGAGAAGGTTGGTGACGTTTATCCAGAGTACAATGTACATAAACTCAAGTTCTTATCTTCCAACTCCTATTGCATTTGTTTTGCTCGGATCAAAGAATGACAAAAACACCGAGTGACTGTTTGAAATACGAGATACATTTTGGGACCGAAATCATGGCATGATGATTGCTTAGCTAGCTAGGGATCGTTCACAAGTAGCTGAATGTAATGTGCCAAATGGTGTGGGTGATTGATCACGGACTTTCAAATTGATGATCTGACTTAAACATCGAAGGTCAAAATCAATGTTGAGTGGAGGATGCTGTAAACTGCGAATTTCGGAGAATTATTTACCACTACATGATGTTGAGAGGAATCAAGCAACAAAGGCATCCTAAATAAGTTACCAAACAAATCCAGTGGGTCCACCCAAGCAAAAGTGAGGGAGTTTCTCGCTATTACAAGCAACATATATCACACATTGCTGCTAAACGGTAGAAATAGTATCACTCATGGACTCCACATAGTTATTCAAACCAAGCTGAGCATTATTACTTAAATAAATAAATGAATGAACTGTTTCTGCCATTTAGATGCATTCCTAAGTCTACATTAACTCCCAAATTAGTTGTTTAGCTTAGACCATAAAGAAATCGAAACAAAATACTGATCATCTAAAATGTGTAATATATTTTTAGATCAGAGATGGCGACAGGTGATGACGACCTAAGAAGCTGGAAGGCGTTCACGAATAACCAAATCTGTTACGACAGGACGCCAAATAATGTGGACACTTGACCGTGTGTCTTCAGTTTAACCAGACGAACTAAACATTACAGGTCAGTACCCACAGTTGAACTGTGAAAGCCATAAGCAACTAATTAAAGAAAACTGTTTACGGTAGCAAGTATTTTAAATGCGGTTGAGAAGAAGCAGTATTGGACGGTGGCAATATCTTGTTTGTTGTTTCCATTATATCTTGTATATCAACATGGTGCTTAGATCACTTGGAAAATGCAGTAAAAGCGGGTGAATCTTTCGAAATATATATAAAACTAATGATACATGCCAAAGAACGTAATGAAGAACTAAAAGCTCCTAGAAGGAACTCTTTAATGCAAGAAAAATTGACTTTCTGTGGCTTTTGCGTAAGCATTGATGGCAATACATTTAACCATTTACCTTTGGCTGGTACATATAAATAACAAAAACCTGTAGTATTTTGCCTTTGCAGATGCTGATACGGATATCGATATACCTGACACCTCTTTATTATGATGAAGAAGATTATAAAGAATAAAACCGATAGATGTACTGAAAACTTAGAACTAATTCAAAAGTCTCTAAACAAGAAATCAAATGTATATAACAATAGAATATTACGAGATTTGATATCTAAAAGTCTTAAACTGCCAAGCTCACAGCTTATTCTAACCTATTCTTCGATAATGCCTTTTTATCGTCAATGAAGATTTCATCTACACACTATGTGCTGAAGTAACGCTAGTCCGTGCATAATATGTCCTGTGAAGGCTGAGACAGCGCTGATTAGCAAGCCCAGTAAGTTCTGATCCACTCCTGAAAATGCCTAGAAAAAGAAAATGATGCGGTATCAGTACCAGTCATGCTGAAAAACAGCACTGAGTTTCAGTCTGTGCCATTAAAGGATCCATTTCAGAACAGATTCAGAATTTACTCACTATAGAATGTTAAAATTATTTCAGAATTAGTGGGATTTAATTCAGAATTATAGTAAGCTAGGGATAGATAAACACAACAGAAACGTTCCTTTATCATGCCTTCAGATATCTTAGACAATTCTGTGAAACATCGAAATATAACTTGTAGTAGCACTACACGCGTGGCTTCAAGGTAGCTATGTTTTCAATATTATACCTTCCAATAACTTCCAGTAACATTATGACCGATATTATTTATAGAGAATATGTAAATAACCTAATGTTTCTTCAGTTAGCCTCATGAAAGAAAGAATTTTGTGTACTAGTCTCGGCTACTTACACTAATAATTTTAGCGAAACAAGAAACCCTAGTTCGAAATCGTTCCAAGGTCGTTGCTGTAACAACCATGACATAAACTTAAGCCCTGACCTTTTAGAAAGTCCGACTATATGAAATAAAAAATATAAACTTAGACTGAGAAAAGATTTCACTTTACATCATAGCTTCCAATCTCATATAAACAATGTGTTCATATGGTAATTTGGAGTATTGTTAGATCATACATTGTTCATCCTTATGGCGAGTTCCAATATCCAATATCGTTTTTACGAGCTAGTATAAACCAATTTGATTTCTTTGTGCTCGCTTCTTGATTGTGAGGTATAGGTTCTTGATCTTCGGTAAACTTCTGCGTAGCTTGTCCCGCCACTCGACTGTCGTAGCTTTGGTTGACTCCAAAGGGAGTAGTGCTGGGATTAATTATATGTGGTTTGTAGTATGAGGTATGTTAAGACTGTTACTACTGTGATTGGAGTTGATCCTTTCGCCAGTTAGTCCTTCGGTATTGTCGACAAGAGAAAAGAGATAGTAATTATAATAATAATAGTAATAATAATAATAATAATAGATATAATTAGTGAAGCTATTCAGACTAAGAGACAGAAACGAAAATAGGAAACGTAACAACAGTCAGCTCATGAAGTTTGAAGAATAATATATATATCAGTAATAGTAATAATAATAATAATAATAATAGTAATTATAATATTAATAAGTTGTCAGGAGAGTAAGACGGGAGAGAATGTAAAGAAGTAAAATGACGAGTTTAATTATCTACCCTGATTGGTAAATGCGATTTTAAGGAGATAGGCCATTTGGATGCAGTCCTTGTATCGCTGCATGGTTGTCCAGCCTTCGCTTAAAGGCGTCCAAAGACGGTGCCATAGCTACATCTGCCGGTAAGGAATTCCAGGGACGACAAACCCGCAGTGAAAAGAAGTGGGAGCGCACCCGGGTCCTTGCCCTCTGGTGAGCTATCCTTCTGGGATTTCCACGTGGAAGCCTATACCTACTCAATGGCAGAACACCTTTGTTTGGGTGATTCTGGTCATTTGTTATTTTGTAGGCAGTAATCAAATCCCCCCTAAGCCGACGGTAACTAAGTGTGAACAGGCCTAATTTCTTCAGCCTTTCATCATATGGTTTGTTTCGGAGACCAACCACTCCTTTTGTTGCCCGTCGTTGGACTCTTTCCAAGAGGTTGGCATCTCTTCTCAGCATTGGGGGTGCAATAATATTATGCACCTCAAGGTGTGGCCTGACGTATGTTTTGTACAACATTAGAAAGAGCTCAGGAGTGAGTGCACCTAACTGTCTATGCGTAAAGTGTATGACCGCATATGCCCTCGCTACATCCCCTGTGTAATTTACGCTTGTGTCCATTTTTTCCGTTAGAACTAGACCTAAGTCGCGTTCCGACGTTGTGCAGGACAAGCTTTCATTGCACAGGGTGTAACTTGCATTCTGCAGTCTACAGGTGCGCAACTTCACTACTTTGCACTTTTTCAAGTTGAAAGTCATGCCACTGGCCACCGCCCAGTCTTCCAGAAGGTTTAGGTCTTCCTGTAGCCTATCTGAGTCCTCCGGACACTTTATCGCCCTCCATATTTTTACGTCGTCAGCGTACAGGAGAGTCGGGCAGCTCAGACGGCGTGGTAGATCATTGATGAAAATCAAAAACATCAGTGGTCCTAGGATAGAACCCTGCGACACTCCTGATGACGATCTGTGCCAAGATGATCGGACTCGGTTAACCTTAGTGCAAAATTGCCTGTCGGCTAGGTAGTCCTTCAACCATGACAGAAGTGGCTCACCTATGCCTGCCTGGCTTATTTTATGTAGGAGAAGGTCATGGTGAACAGTGTCAAATGCCTTCTCAAAGTCTAGGAAGACCACATGGACTGGTACGTTCAAGTCCCAGCATGATGTCCAGTCGTCCCAAGCTGACAGTAGGTTAGTGACGCAGGATCTGCCTTTTCTGAAACCATGTTGGGCTTCATGTAGTATATTAGTCCTATCGAAATATTCCCTGATGTGGTCGTCAATAATACTTTCCAGTACTTTTGATACCACTGGGAGTAGAGCTACTGGTCTATAGCTAGCAGCGTTTTGCCTGTCCCCACCCTTGAAGATTGGAGAAAGGATGGCTCTTTTCCACTCCCTTGGCAGGGTCCCCGAATCCATTGAGTGTTGGAACAAGTCGCACAGGGGTCTACAGAGAGCCTCGGCGCACTGTTTCAGAACAGATGGCCTGATGTCATCACAACCTGGGGACTTCCCAGGTATGAGTCGCTGTAGCTTCCTTAGTACTATTGCGGGGTTTATTTGGGGAGTAGTCGCTAGGTCTTCCTCCTCTGAAATAGTGGTGCCACCATTTTGGTCCGTAACTGTAATATCCACATTGCTGTTTAGCTGTTTAGCGAAGGCTGAACTGAATGTTTCAGCCATCTCCAGACTAGTGAGATATTGACCGTTTGGGCCTACTAAGGCGCATGCCCCTTGGTTTGTCGGTTTTCTTTCCGACATGAATCGGTACAAGTTTTTAGGGTTTGATAGGAGTTTTTTAGCAAGGTTAGCCTGGAATGACCTTCTGTCCCTCCTAACTCTTGCATTACACCGGTTCCTGAGTTCGAGGTATGCATCATGGTCGGTCTGACTCTTAGATACACGCCACGTAAACCAAGCCCTCCGCTTTGCTTGCAGAATACGTTGCGTGCCTCTCTTCAACCATGACGTCTTTCTCTTAGGCTGTGTTGTGACTAAAGGGACGGTATCCGAGATTGCTGCATGGATAATCTTTTTTACCACTTCCCAGTGTTCATCCACAGATAGGTCGTCCCATGCTAAGGGCCAGTCTGCGTCGGACAAGAGCCTCCGCATTTCAGCATAGTCAGCCTTGCTGTAGCACAGACATGGTCGCGTAACATCCCATTGCAAACGCTCACGGAGGACAAGATCGAAACCTATGACTGCATGGTCACTGCTTCCCAGAGGAGTCATGATCTGGACCTTTTCGACGAGTAGCTGGTCACTAGTTAGAATATAATCTAGTTTTGATGACTTTCCACTAGGGCCCCACCTAGTGTCGTCTCCAACATTCTCAGTCAGTCCCGTGTTTCGAATAGTTTGCAGTAGGTTTCGGCCAAATTTTCCCTTAGCACACCCGGAGCCAAGGTTCAGTGATGGAGCATTGAAATCTCCAGCTATGGTGATTTGGTCGTAACCCAAATCTCGTATTCCTGTGATAGTGCTGAGCAGTAGCTGATTGTGCTCTGCCCCACAGGTGGGAGATCGGTAGATGCCACCCAGTAAGTGCTTGGTGTGGCCTACGGTGAAATGACACCATATGGAGTCTGGGAGTTCGATAAGTGGTGGGTCCGTTGCGCGCACACATTTAAGTTGCCTATCAAAGTATATAGCAACTCCCCCTCCTTCCTTATTATCCCTGTCTCTCCTGACCAGTACCATATCACCTATACTGATTTCATTGTCGGCGATAGTGGGGTTTAGCCACGTTTCAGTAAGAATGATTATTTTCAGTTGAAGGTGTGCTTGGAGATTTCGGAGTTCACCTACTTTCCCTCTCAGCCCCCTCACATTGCTATATAGGCAACTGACAGTGAGTCTAACAACCTCAGAGTGTTGTGGGGTAGTTGACGTGAAACCGTCTGCTGGTGGGGGACTTGATGTTGGAACTAGTTGGCCGATTCCGATAGAACCGGCCCGTTGTAGTTTTTTTCAATGGATTTAGGCAGGACACTTGGGAGACACAGACTATTATTCTCAGAGCTGCATCGCTCTAGTGTCACCGAAGCTTGGGGTCGTATTAAAGCCTCAGTTTGCTGCCTCCTTATATTTCTGGGTCTGCTTTCACAGCATCGGATGTGTCCTCCAATTTTTCCCTTGGTCTCATACCACCGTTGAAGTGATATGGACAACTGCTCCGGGGAGTTGAATGTGACACACAGCAGCTTTGGAGAGTTAATCAATGTTAGATGAGCGGGACGAGGTAGTCGGAAAATGGAGATGGCTCCAGAAGCGCCAGGGGCCATCTGAGATGACAGCCATCTCCATTGTTGTACGTCGTGCATGTGTTTTTCACAAGCAGTGCCGGTTTCCAGCTCCGGAACACCGTGTACCACCATAGAGGTGGAAGGCATCAGTTCCGGTGACTCCCTCGCCATATTTCTGACGGCCCATGGTCTATCTTGCCGCGCTCTTATGTTAGAACTTCTGTCCAGGGCTAGTACCTGAGCCATTAACAGTACTTTTTCGGCCTCTTCGGCAGAGTCCAGTGTAACCCGTAATGGGGGTGGCTTACCCTGAGGCGTGTGGACACCCCTGTACAGTCTGCACAGTTTTGCTGAACTAATGTTCAGACCTAGTTTGCCACACAGGTTGGACCACTGTTCCTGATCAAACAGGGCCCGTTGTTCGAGCAAGCTATCCGTGCTCACAGGTACGTTAAAGAGGATGAGAGAGTTAGACCGACTACCCTCAGACTTAGGTTTTGCCTTCGGCTTCTTGCAGTCCTTTGCATCATTAGCAACATTAGGCTTCGTCGGTACCTGGACAGCCTTTTTTGTGTTGCCAGGCTTGCTAGTGGATGCAAGTGGTGCCTTTGTAATTTTGCCCTCCCTTGATGTGGATGGAACCTTGCTAATCTTCACCTTGTGAGAATTGGCATTTCCAGTCAGTAGGGCTGGTGTGTCCTTCTTTAAGTCTTTGACCAGTTTCGGCAGTGCGAGTTTAGCAGGGGGGAGCTGCATGATACTGTGTTGGGGCACAAGAGCATGTTATTTCTGCTATCCGCAGACACGCTTTGTGGGACTATGCCAGGGCGACAAAGTGGACACACGTACCAAAACCATGGGCATGGGTTATTTCTCATAAACTCATAGTATGCTTTCGGTACTTCTTTGTCACAACGGCAGTGCACCCATCGTTTGCAAAAATTACATTCAAACGCTGAATCAGTTTTAGAAACTGTGATGCTGCACGCCTGGCATTCATCCCCTTTCATTGATGACGCCTTCGAGGTCTTATGACGTCTTGAACGTTTCCTTTTAGGCTTGATGTGTTTCACACACTGGCCTACAGTTGATGCAGGTGTAGAATTCT